AAAGATCCATCTGCAGGATGGAGGTTCTTCTGGTATAAAGCTGTTCCAAACTACAGGCAACTACTACGACCAAGAGCTGTACCTGGCAGAAGCAACGGGAACTGAAACAGGATTCCTTCATTGTTCGTGAACAGACACACACAGCAGGATATAAGTGCAGAGCTGGAGAGGAGATCCAGTGAAAACTAATATAGTAACACTATGTTTGTCTGGTCTAAAGGTCAGTGTGTTAGTGCCTTTCTCTTCCTTTTTTCCTCTATCTGCCCCACAATTAGTCATGTAGCTACTAGCGAAGGAGTAGGTACAGAGTATAGCAGAGGCATACGTCATCATCATTCATCAACAGTGTTGGGTTACTCTCACTGTGGAAAGGAAAAACAAAAGTTCTGCACTGCAGGTTTAAAAGACACTGATTTGTGGTCAGAAGGCACATGGACAGGTGGCAAATGTGGCGCCTGCAACAAATAAAAGGCATGTAAAGAGACAAGATATGGGTACACTAGGAGATTAAAATAACTGATAGTTAAAAGGAAACTATGTGTTAAAAGATGGAGAGAACCACTGTAATTAATATTAAGACAGTCAAAAGATGATTCCATGTGCTGCTGTTAATGTCATGATATCTCTGTGTTTGTTTTGACACCTCATTATTCTTTTTCAGATTTTCATCCAGCAACAGTCAGAGTGAGTCCTGACAGAGAGCAGCACTTTTCCTCTGAGCCTGTCTCACTGAGCTGTGAGGGAAACTCTTCTAAGTGGAGAGTGAGGAGGTTCACTAAAGCCGGCCATCTGTCAACTGTTCTAAGTGGGGAACAATGACTGGATCCACATGCAACATCAACGAACTTCCAAACAAAACTGCAGTGTACTGGTGTGAGTCTGAATCAGCTCAATTCAGTAAGCGGTCAACACCGTACAAAGTAATTGCTTTTTTGTTTTAATTCTCTTATTTCACAATTACATAATTTAACATCTTATATTCAGATTTTATAGGTGATTATATTTTTTGGTTATATTATATACCAATGCAGTGAACGTTAAGGAGAGACATGGAACCCGCCATGAAATCAGTTTTTCTGCCCTTCACAGTGTTTATTATTAGACCTCTTATTATCAAAGAATTAGGACATATTGATCTCAATGCATTTGTGTAAAATTAACCAATTAAATTTGGGTATGTGATTCTAATCCAATACAAGTCTTTTTGTCAAATTCAACAAATATCTCCTCACGGTCCACTAGCTGTCGGTTCTATGTGTGTGCTGAAAAACAACCTGGTTTGTACCCAGCCAGGTTCTGTAAATGGGAAACAATAAATGACTTGGACCGAGCACACAAGACTTTTCCAGCTGTTCCAGCCATGATTTCTGAACTGCCCACGGACATTCAACTTACTCTCTAGTACACCAACATAGCTGTTGGTGTGATGTTAGCTGTATCTGTCTGGAGTTATTGTGCTGGCTCTGGGACTGCCTCGTCCTCTGTGCACGTTAGCTTCATAGCAGCAGTTGTAGCGACAGTTTGCTAACCACAACTAAGCTAACATTAGTTACATTACTTGCTTTGTAATGGTTCGCTCTATTGCATGGTGTGTCATGGTGTTGGATTTCTCCAGAATTGCACACCAAATAATAAAGAGCAATTGCTGCTTATTTGTAAATATCTGAAATGATGAATTAATATTGCAATTTTACCTGATCTGATCAGAGCATCAGTTGCAACTTCATTAATTGACGCCACAGTGACTATAAACCTCCATCACCTTTGGTTATGTAAGAGTAACAGCAGAAGTGTATGAGCGATGAAAAGGTTTGCAACGACTTGATATTATTTGACTGTTTCACAGATAAAGATGGTGAATCCTGTCCATCCTGTGACTGAGGGACAGTCTGTTGGTCTTGGCTGCAAACTGAGGACAGGGACATCAGATTCTAATATATTTTTCTACCGAAATGGATATCTCATCCAAAATGACAGGAGAGGGGCTGAATATTGCTGCAGTGTCAAAGTCAGACGAAGGCTTAGTGGAAATACTCAGGAAATGTGTCACCACATCTGTTTCTTTAAAACTTCCTTTTTCAGAAGCTATGTCACAATCTGAGATAAAAAGAGGTTGTCAAATACTTACTTAATACAAATACTCTAATTAGAAAACTAAAACAGGAGGTTCTAATGTACTGTGAATGTCTAATATCACACAGTCTAACAATAATTACGTATGTGCGCAGGTATGTACAATAAGTGTTAATTGTGTACTGCACTTGCATGGATGTACATTTGGACATTTGATTTGAACATTTATGAACAATTATACTATATATACTATGTGTATACTGTGTGTAAGCATGTGTGCTCTTAAGTATACACTTGTATAGTATGTGTACATGTATGTTTTATTATTATTATTTATTTGTGAACTATAAGGTGTTAATGTATGTGTACGCACATGTGTATAGGTGTGTAGTTTTTTTTTCCTTCCACATATAATTTCTGCAACTGGTCTGTTTTTGAACATGTGGCCCACTTGATCCTGGATGTGGGTTCACTTGTGAAGTCTTTTACATGGTTTCTTCTAATTTAGATTTACTAACTTGTGACCTCTTTTGTTTGTGAAAGCACTCAACTACAAATAACATTTATTAATACTTACCTTTTATTAGGACCTGAAGACTCTTCATTTCTTCTGCAGTTGATTGTTGGGCCAGTTTGTGGAAGTTTACTGATTATTCTCCTGCTGCTGTTGTGTTGCTACAGAAAGTCAAAGGGTGAGACCTTTTCCTGCTGATACTTGATGGTTATAATCTGACTATTCAAAGTCATTATTGAATTCAGTGCCAAAACAAAATAATGTAACAACATTTTATTTTGTTTTACAGATTCAAATTTTGCCAGGTGGGTAGACTTTCTCTCTCTTAGGCACTAAATGTTCCTTATTCAATTTACTGAATTTACTATATTTTATATATATATTGTTTTATATATATGTTTTATTTTATTATATTTTAGGACCCCACAGAGAACCAATCCGGGCTCTGCCAGATCAAGTGGTTTACCAGAATGAAACTACAGTGCACTCCTCTCATCTGCATGGTCAGCCTTAAAAATGATCCAGATCCATTTATCATTTCATATGACATTATCATATCACAACACTTGCTTTCTGGTAGGCTTATTTTCAAGACTTAAACCAAATGAACTTTTCAGTTAGTCAATTGGAATATAATAAATCATCTACTACAACCAGAAAAGATCAGAACTGAAAATTGGTTATAGTCATTGTTTACATTGTCTCTAGCTGAAATTATGTTAAACTATGAGACAGAGAGTATCATTAATTTATGGTATAAAATACATTTAATGCAATTTGAGTTACACCTTTGACATTACCCAATTCAAATAACTCAAAGAGTCTAAACATCAATGTCTTTTGCCCATATTTATATCTTTAAGACAATCTTACAATATATTTGAGTATATTCATCAGAAAAGAAGCAGCTTAGTTTGTATCCTAAAGTTGAAATGATCAATTTTACCGTGACTTGATTTTCAGGTGATGCTTGTCTCTCTGAATCAATCAGAGGCTCAGAAAATGCTGAAAATGGTAGGTACATTTTTTATTTATTTACACACAGAAGAATATTAGAAAAGAGTTGACAATCCTGTAAGTTAAGAACATGTATATTTCAGATGCAGATGAATCCAGCTATGTCACATACTCGTTGATTCAGCTTAAACACAGTAGTAATAAAGGTGAGTATACAAACAATAAATATTATAGTCAAAATATTCATCAGGCCAGTGATTTCTAAATAAAAGACAGTATTAACTCATCTTTTGATGCATCTGCTCATCTTTACAGGGCAGCATAATGAACCAGAGGAGAGCTCCCTTTACTCGAATGTGAAGACAAGATCAGCTGCAGGTACAGTCACTTGCAACAGTTTGTCCAATAGTTTGTTTTGAAATATGCAAAATATTATTGAAAGTAACTCTAGTTCAAATCACTCTAATTTTACTTCCTGTTATTTTTGTTTGTTTTTAATCTCTGGTCATGTTGTTGCAGACTAGCCTGTAAATGGAAATTCTGTTCTAGAGAAAAAAAAATACAAAATACTGTTGATTTTTGCTGTAAAATGATTGCTGTTGGTTTGTTGCTTGGGTTTGAGTTTGTTCTCTGACTCAAAAGATTTTAAATAATCTTAACAATGCACAAACATTTCTTATTTTTTTAATATTATATTTTTATTGATTCTAATTAAACTTGCTTAATTGATATCCCCTCTATTGTTGTAACCTGTAACTATTTTCCTCCTGTTGTATTATGCATGCATAGTCTTTATTATGCATGTATACTGCAAATATGCATTTCTGACGAAAACAGTTTTCATGTATCATTAAATTCTATAAAGAAAAACACAATACTCTGCTGTGTGGTTGGTTTGACCTTTGGGCTTTGCAATACTGTCATTTAACCTTTACCTAGATAATCTGTCTGCAGTTCAATGTATATTAAATCTATTATTGTTAAACATTTAAACAAATTAAACAAACAAACTAATCATCTCTCCGTTCATAGGAAGATCATCTCCTGCAGCAACAGAGGAAACTGTTTATTCAGAAGTCAAAATAGGAACGGCTCTTGGTAATAATGCTCCCATGTAATGTGCATGTTGTGATTTGTGTCTTTAAAGCGACTACATCTTAAATATCCTTTTATCTCTGCTTTTGCTGGTTTTCTTCCAGTTCCATAACGAGAATAGTATTACTTTTTCATGTGTAATGACCTTTTATTCCTTTAAAAATGGACTGATACTGTATGTACTTTATTTGTACCTGGATGTTATTTTGCCGTTTTGAAAGCTATGTCACATTTTATCATTTTATGCAGCAATAAAACTTTTTCAGCAGCCAAATGTTGTGTCCTTTATTGCTTTTTAGTCATTTTTATGTGATCTCCTCTGCACACTTTTGTGGCTCATAGCTACACAGCTGGGGAAAACAAATGGACAGACATAAAACCAGAAATGTCAAAACATTAAGTATTATAAGTAATCTGTTGTTCTGTTTTTGGAGTTTTTTCATTTTTGGAGTATACAGGAAATCAACCCTCTTTACTTTTTTTTAAATAGGCAATTATGCAATTCTTCTGTCAGATGTTAACCAAACTGTAACTTTTAAATGATGATGCCAGTGAATAGTTGTTGTGGGTTTTTTGGTTTCTGAGGTTTTATTCCTTTTTCCTGTTGAAGATTTTTTTGGGTAGTTTTCCTAACTGAGTTTTAGCATTAAAATTAACTTATCCTTGGGGCATATTTTCCTGGCCACTAAATACAATCCTAGCAGCTATACCAAGTGCACTGATCAATGAGAAGAGAGCTGTCGTAAACGGGCGTGGCTGTGTTGGTATTTGGCTCTAGGGCTATTCAGTCAGGTGCCATTTCAGAGTAAGCAGGGCGAATCTCTTCGACACCAGCTTAAACAGTCCTCAGTTATACCTAATAGGGTAATACCCATAGGCCTAGAGGATCGGACCCTTTAAGATGGAGAGCTGGTCCAGTACCTCCTGAACAGGGGTAACTCGGGATCTAACACGGTCTAAGGTAACAGAGTTTGTATGTTGTACAGATTGCAAAGCCCTCTGACGCAACGTTTTGATTCTGGAGCTGTTTCGTCACCTTCCACAATCCACAGGTTGACTTCCAGCAGAGAGCAGCTCATCAATTTCCTTTGTGCACTGCATTGTTCTTCACCACACTCAAACACTGAGGTTTTTTTAATATGGTTTCTAACCGCTTTGAGTTTAATTGATCTCTTCATTTTTCAAGTGTGAACACATCTGCTTAGAATTGATGATGATGATGTAGTGTGGATTTGGGACAAAGTTGCTGCTTCATTGATGTTGTTAGGCTCATGTTTGGCAGAAATTAGGTTAGTATAAATGGTAAATAAATGAATTTATTGAATGCTAACTACTACTAACTATTATGTTTACTATGGAGATTTATATTCATAAATGTACTGTACTGGTGTATGGATATAACCACAGAGAGTGTAATTGATTTTAGCCATCGTCATCCTCATTCATTTAAACTGACTCCACCAGAGATAGTTGCATTTAAAACCACAATAATGTGTGCGGTTTTTATTTCATACTTGACGATGTGTACTGTAACTGACAGCATAACTAGATATTTTATTTCATTGCTGTCTTTCTAAAGTAATTTGTTGTGTTGAAAGATAAGATCTGGTGTCAATATGATGACACTGCCTAAAATATATCCAGCAACACATTCTGTAGGTGTGAAAAGGAAGTGAAAGTGAGTTTAATTATCTCAAATTTACAAGCATTGTCACTGGCTTGTCTATTTGTAAACAGTATGTTTTGTATGTTTTATGATATTAACCAGTTAAGAACTGGTTACATTTTGGGCTGGTCCACCATAAGCATCCAGTGTTTATTATTGGTTGGTTGTTTTACAGTTGTTGTTTTTTTACTACTGCTTACACACGTTTTCAATACTTTGTCTCCCTTTTTCAAATGTACTCACAATTCTGCTCACATAAAATGCAAAATGCCTCAAATCTCCTTCAAAATGAAACACTGCATTAAAAATGACATAAAAACCAAAATGAAGCACCTGCAGCAGATGGCAGTAAATTATTGGATTTACCATTTACACACTGTTGTTCTAAATCTAAAGCTCTTTTTCACATTTCCATACAATGTTCTAGTGTAAAAGTAATCTGCTAAGAGTGGTTGAAACATACACTGTAAACACCAATGCAATGTTAAAACAGCAAATATTTATTTGGCAAAACATTACAGTTGTAACAGTTGCACAGTGTTGTATCCATCCTTTTATTGCCAAACAATAATTTTTATTTTACATTAACCATTACATTGTTGCAACCTGTTCTAATTTCTTTAGGTTCAAATTACGGTCACCACTGTAAAGCAACTCAAATTGGGCTTGACTCTCAGTCCAGCTTCTCTCACTGTCAGCCTGTGGTTGATCACATGATAGGGGCGGCTGTGGCTCAGGAGGTAGAGCGGGTTGGCCATTAATCAGAAGTCGGCGGTTCAATCCCTGGCTCCTCCTGGTTGTGTCGAACTTGTCCTCGTTGTCGTCCCCTGCCTCTCCCTCCTTCTCCCCTTGCTCTCTGTCCATTGTTGGCATCCATTGTTCAAAACAGGTAATTTGACCTTTGACCTATGTATAGTTCTGCTGTATACTACTGCAGTTAGTGATCAGTTAAGCAGTTAGTGTTTGCACATGTGAGGAGTGGCTGTTTGATCTTGTGACTAAGTGTTGCATTTTCTTTGGTTGTGTTTGGAAAAGGAAAGCAGGTCACTTCCTTTTTGTGTCTTAGATAGAGAATTGTGTGTGGTGTTTTGATAAAAGTGTTTTATGCAGTTGAAAATCACTTTGAGTGAGAAGTTTTAACCATCATGTGACATGTAAAGATTTTGTGTGTAAGCAGTTGTAAAAGACTGTGAAGTGTCATCGAAAAAAGGCTGAGGTTTGGTGCCTATCTGCTATTTTCCATATTCTATCTTGACAAAACAATGAAATATAACGACTGTTGTCTGTCAGCTTCTTGTGTTTGTATTTGGTTCACAAACAGTTAACAGCTCTTGTTCTTTACTACGAGTGTGTGTTTTTTGAAAGATTACGTCCTCCCCCCTCATATATCTTACAGTGGTTTCAATCAATCCATATTACTTCTTAACCTCATTTCACACAAGGTAGGTTGAGCGGGAAATTATTTTCCTTTGTATGTGAGTTTGGATGAGTTGATGTATGAGTTCCCCCTCAGAAACCACTGAAATTGACCAAAATTGACATGTTAACTAGCTATTTTCTGTTGTCTTAAGATATTTAAACGGTGTCAAATCAGTGTTTTTGGTACACATACAGTAAACAGCTCTGGTCCAATGCGCTTTTTAATTTTTGAAAGTTTGTGTGCTCCCTCTCATAGGCCTCACAGTTTGGTCAGCTGCCTACCTTTTCAGACCCTCAGAGATCTTTGGGAGATGTTTTTATTGTCCCCTCCTCAATCTAATATCAATGAAGATAAAGTCAAACCAGGATTTTAGAAATGTTTGCAAATGTATTAAAAAAGACAAAAAAAAATGAAATATCACATTGACAAAAGTATTCAGACCCTTAACACAGTCCTTAGTTGAAGCCTCTTTGGCAGCAATTGCAGACTCAAGTCACTCTAAATCACTGAAACACCACATGAAAATCAGCCATCATTTAGTGACCTCACACAGTACACTGCTACACTGGGCTCATTGTATATCGTTTTTCCCCCTTTTTTTAAATGTGCAAAATTTTAAACTGATGTTCACAAAATGTTTCATCCGCACAATACTAAACGTTGTTGTATTCCTGCTTTAAGCAGACATTTTTTGCCACAGTTTACTGAAACCAAATCCCGATGATAGAAGTCAATAATAAAAATGGAGACTACCGCCTACAAAAACACATATTTTACCAGGATTAATCAGAAAAGAGTACAAAGGTCACATAATGTTGTTGATAATGTTTTTGTTCTATGTTTTTTCAGATCACTGATCTGCTTTCAGTCATGACAATACTTATTCTTTATTATTGCAGCGTCCAGCTCTCCATTTCCTGTGCTGTTGATCGTTGGGCTGGTTATTGGCATCTTTCTGGTTGTTCCCCTGCTACTGCTGCTGTATTGGTACAAAAAGTCCAAGACCTTTTACTGTTAATGTTAGATAATTTACTCACTGCTTATTAAAATGACTAAGGAATTATGATTTCATGACATGGATCAGCGGTTCAGTTGGCAAAACATCATGATATGTAAGTTTTAACTGTATTATCTGTTTTCACAGATACATGTTGGCACAGGTTGGTACAACCCTCTTAGCTCATCTTAAAAATAAATGATTAACTTTTTACTTGTACTAGCTTTTACATTTCACTACTTATGTACATTGTTTACTACATATTTCATGTTCATCCAGTCTCAGAGGACCAATCTGTCTTTCACAGATACATGTTGTCACAGGTTGGTACAACAGTCTTGTCTCATCTTAAACATATGTATTAACTGTCACACTGAGCCAGTGTACATAGCCATGATAACTTATGCTGAAAAGCTAACCAGCTCCAGAGCAGGTTCTGTTAGAGATGAGAAATTGAGGCTATATAAACACCACCTACTGACCAATCAATTTTCTTGGAAAACTTTAATCTGTAGAAGATCCCACGGACTGTTTCATACACTAATCCTGTGGGTGATGCTGATATGCTACCGATATGATCAAAATATAGCCTATGCCTTACAAAATGTAAGCCTACTTAGTGCTTTGAATAATGTTTTTATATTATTTTTATTTGCTTCACATATTCTGCTGCAGCCTTAAAGCAACATTAGGTGAAGTGGGAAACGCACAAAGACAAGAAGCAAAGTTACACAAGACACATGAGAAAGGATACTTTCAAAATAAAACCCTAAACCTTGACAAACTGTTTACTTCTACTGTTACTACTTACAGTATGTATATTGTTTACTACATGTTTAAACCCAGACACAGAGAACCAATCAGAGCTCTGCTACAGTCCGAACTGTCAACCAAAATGAAAATGAGGAGCAAGTATATTCCTCTCTTCTCCATGGTCAGTCCTCCATCTAATTGTGAATTACTTTCACAGCTATTTATAAAATTATTCTATACTCTATTCAGTTAATGTATTTGTAATTGTAACAG